CCGCAGCCCAACGCTCTCCTGCTGGGCTCCCAGCAGAGGGGTTCCCCCCTCTGACCATTTTTGTGGCCTCCCCTGGACCTGCTCCAGCACTGTCCAGAACCTAACTGGAGGTTCAGAAGGAAGGATCTCAGCCAGATCACCAGAGCTCTTCTGCATGCGAGTGCAGCCCTGAGCCTGGGGAGGAGCACCCTCTGCCTGGAGCAGGGCTGAAGGACCCTGGGTCCACAGTGGCATGGAAGGAAAGTCACACAGGAGGACACAACCCTAGCTGGGGGGAGGGCTCAGAGATGGAGATTTTCTCCCCGTTTCTATATCGCTCTTATTTCAGCCCAAATTACATTTTTCTTGCCTTTCCCCTAAAACAGTGCAGAGCAAAGGGGGCTGGGGGTGCCCCTCTGCTTCCCACCCAAGCAGGAGCTCCTGCCCAGCTCCTGTTGTGCCCTGTTCTTGTCAAACCCAACAGGGACCAGCACAAAACCAGCTTCACACCCCACGGCACGCGAGGGGAGGAATCCTTCCTCCACATCAGGTGACTCTGCTCAGCTGAGAAAAGCAGAATTTGAGAGCAGAAGTGAAAATGGAGCTTGGAAAGAGCTGGAGAGAAGCTGCTGTCTTCCCCTGGCAGATTAGTAAAGCCAAGTGATTACATCAAACAGGATCCAAAGGGCTACAGCCCAGCCAGGATCTGAGAGCCAGACAAGTGGGGCAGCCACGTCCACCCCCAGGAGAAGGCACCGGTGCCACCTCCCCACCTCCCCACCCACCAGACCTCTGCTGTTGGCTTCTTCTCCACCCTCTGCACCCCACCTGCACTGGGCTGCCCCTGGCAGTGAGAGCAGCTCCACCCTAACCCCTGCCTGGGGGTTCTGGGAGCATGCCAAGCCACCCCCAGCTCCAGGGGGGCACGGAGGGCAGGGCTCTTACCTTGTCTGTGATGTCTTCTTCTGTACCCTCCAGTGCCTCCTGGTAAGAGTCCTCCATCACCCCCACGGACAAGGTGCTGGTTTGATGCAACTGTCTGTAAGGGAGACAAACCACCCCGACCCACAGCAACACCAACGTCAGAGCCAACAGGGCAGGGCATGGCAACCAGAGGTGACAACTGCTCCCCTCTCTCCCAGCCTCGTTTTCCAAGAGGAGGTAACAGCTCCTGAAGGCTTCGCAGCTGAGGATGGCGTGGGCCAGGTCCTTCTCCCCACCAGAAGCTCCAGAGGTGATGAAGCTCACGGCCTTGGTGTGCCCAGCTGACATGGCTGAGGGGCTCAGCAGCTGAAGGAGCACCAAGGAGGTGCAGACGTGGACACAAGCTGCCAGGACTTCATCCCATAAGCATTTTGCTCTTGCTCTTTGGAATGGGAAGAGATAAGAGCTTGTCCTTCTCACTTTCCTTCTCTACCTACGTTCCCAAGGCCGTGTATTAGCCAGCAAAGGACAGAGTACTCTGCTCTAGCTGCTGATAAGAAGTGGGGGGCAGCAGGTGGAAGGGAGGGAGGGGAGAAATAAAACCCTGACCCTGTTATGAAACACCCCAGCCCACCTCCCCACGCTGGCTGTGAGAGCCAAGAAGGAGCTAATCATTAGCAAAGCCTTGCAACACTGGTGGCCAGGGCTTTGTGGCAGCTGAAGGACCTGTGGAGGGGCTGATCTGCACTTGATCCTCGTGGCATTGCTGCTCCATCAGCCCGTGGCAGGGGAAACCAGCACTGCCACGGGGAGAGGTGGTTGCATTCCAGCTCTGTGAAGCCCAGGCTGGAGAAAACCACTCTGCTCTCCCACCACAACCTCAAGGATGAGCAGCCTGCTCTCCCTCTGCAGCCAGCACTGCTTCGAGGGGGAGGTGAACAAGGAAAACCACAGAGATCTCTCTGAACCTGTTTTTCCTGGGAATTTGTCATGGGGGGGGGGTCTCAAATCCACCCTGCTACACAATAAGCTCATGGTAGTAGCTGTGAAGCTCAGCTGGCATTCAAAGAGCCACCAGAGCTGAGCACCAGCCTCATTCTGCATCCTCACCCTGGGTATATATTTAGATTCTGAAGTCTCAGGCACATTTGTCACTTAAATCATGCCAAGCACAAGGCTGAACCAGCTGAGATTTCTTGGCACCAGCAGAACCCAGATAACAAAAATCAGAAAAAAGCCCTTACCAAAATAAAACCAATCTCCTAGAAGCCAGTGTTTTGGTGTTACTCAGTCATGACAGCATCTGCAGCCAAGGGTTTGCCTTGGGCTGATCCTAAGGAGCTGCAACCCTCCTGTTACCTCCCTTCTTATCACAAACTAAACTTCTTGAGTCCACCAATATTTACCTAAATCCACAAGTCCCAGGCTCAGAAAAGCATCTTTTAAATGCAAAGGGCCAGGAGGGCTCAACCCCCCTCAGACTGGGGCACCTCCAGTCCTGAAAGTTTAACTCAAAATCCTCCCTAAATTTGCTCAGCCAGCCCTGTGACAAGAACCAGGCGTAGAGCAGGAAACGTGGGGACAGGCTGCTCCCCCCAACCTTCTTTCCTGCCAGTGTTTTGAATAAAAATCTAGAAAGTAAGAGGACAGGAAAGAGGAAATGTAAGATTGAGGAGCTGCTTCCCTGCCAGGAGGGGAAATTGTGCCAGGGGAGACTGGCTGACCACAGGAAAAGCAGAGAAGAGAGAGGTGTGAAGCATGGCAGGGAGGGAGAGGTGGGGCAGGAGCAGACCCAGGGCACAGGGGGATGAGCAGCACCCAAAGTGAGCTGCTGGCTCCTCATCCTGCTCAGAAACCAGCAAACCTGTGGCTGCAGAGGGCAACCTCCCTCCTGAGAGGGCAGCCAAGAGTCAGGGAGCCCTGTGGCCTGGAGAGACTTCTGAGGTCATGGAGTCCAACCCTTCCCCCAGCCCTGCCAGGTCCCCACTGCCCCGTGTCCCTCATACCACATCTCCACAGCTTGGAAACCCCTCCAGGGGTGGGGACTCCACCACTGCCCTGGGCAGCCTGGCACAGCCCTGGGCAACCCTCCAGGGCAAGAAATTGTTCCTCAGAGCCAACCTCAACCTCCTGTCAGGAGCTGTGCAGAGCCAGAAGGTCTCCCCTGAGCCTCCTTTGCTCCAGGCTCAGCACCCCCAGCTCCCTCAGCTGCTCCTCCCCACACTTGGCCTCTAGACCCTTCCCCAGCAGCTCCGTTGCCCTTCTCTGGCCACTCTCCAGCCCCTCAAGGTCCTTCTTGGAGCGAGGGGCCCAAACCTGACCCCAGGATTTGATGTGTCTTCCCCAGTGCTGAGTCCAGGGGGACAATCCCTGCCCTGGTCCTGCTGGCCACACCAGTGCTGACACAAGCCAGGATGCTGGTGGCCTTCTTGGCCACACTGCTGGCTCATATTCTTAAAATCAGGAGGACATAGGAACAGGAGGGATGGTGGAGCTGGGGGAGGAAAGGTGAGCACCAGGTCTCAACGAGAGGGGACAAACCCTCTGCCCCAGTGTTTTAGAACAAACTCAGCAGCTTTTCCTATGCAGGCAGGGATAAAAGTGCCCACAAGGAAAGGGTGACTGGCATCACACGAGTTGGTCCCACAGGAGACTTCTGGGCTAAGCTCCAGGGTGGGATTATCTGCAGCCACCCCCCAGGAACTCCCCAAAGCCCCTGACCCAGCAGGACAGTGGGGAGGAGAGAGCCCAGCCAAGCAGTGCAGAGGGACAGAGAGAGAATCACAGAGTGGTTTGGGTTGGAAGGCACCTTAAAGATCATTTATTTCCAACACCTCCCACTAGAGCAGGTTGCTCACAGCCCCATCCAACCTGGCCTTGAACACCTCCAGTGCTGGAGCATCCACAGCTTCCCTGGGCAACCTGTGCCAGCATCTCACCACCCTCGGGCCAGGGTCTCCCCACCCTCAGAGTGAAGAACTTCTTCCTCATTTCTAATCTAAATCTGCCCTCTTCCAAGGTGAAACCATCACTCCTCATCCTATTATTACAAACCCTTGTAAAAAGTCCCTCCCCAGCTCGTAACAAGCCCCCCTCTCCCCAAGCAGCAGTAAAACATGGGCTTACCTTGCCACCTTCTTGCTTGAGAGTCTTTTATTTGGACTGCAAAATGAAGAAAAAACAGGAAAGAGTTAGGAAAAGCTGACAGTGGAGAGGGAGGGGAACAGGAAACCACGAGCAGCCCCGGGGCAGGTCCTCCAGCTTGGGCAGGGGAGCACCCACGTGGCATGCACAGCCCAGCCACCCCGGGGAGAGGCAGGTGAAGAACCTCCTCCTGGATCTGACAACATCCTGAGAGCCAAGCCAGCAGAACATAAAATCCCAGTGCCTCCAGCATGGGGATCCTCTCAGCAGCTGATCCCTACCCCTGAAAGCTGAGCCCCCAGCACTAATAATAGCTCGGTGGGTTTCACAGCCTGGTGCTGGAGATTTTTAGGAGCTGTTGGTTGTGTCCCTTTGGGGATTTGGGAGGGCTAAGAGGTCCCCTTTGCCCAGATAACCCCTGGAGATCACCCACCCTGGCTCCCTGTACCCCCGAGGCAGCTGCCACCATACCACAGCGGTCAGGGCTCAGCTAATGCTCAGAGTGACCTATGGCACAGAGAGCCAAGGCTGGCATGTCCCTGTCCCTCGGGGACAGGGCTGTCCCCACTGAGGCAAAGAAAAAGCCTTCTTCTGGAAGCTCCTTGCTGAGATTCTCCAGCCAGTCCTTCCCCAGTGACTGCTGCAGTGAGCGGGGCTCGGATCTCCCTCCCCAGTTTCCTCCTGAAGATGTTCTGGTGTTACTCAGATGCCACTGGGACCCATCTGGTGCCACCTAAACCATCCCTAAATGATGCCAGCACACCCAGCTCTGGGCTGGGTGGAGAAGCAGCAATTGCATCCCCTGGTGCTTAGCTCAGTGAAAAGAAAAATCCCATAAATAAAATCACCTAGGAGCCCGTTCCTGCCTCAAGCTGCAACAACTGGATTAGTTCTTGGAAAGAGGAATTCAAAATAGCTGAGGACCAGTTTTCTTTTTAGAAAAAAAAACCCCAATGTCTGAGCAGGGGCTGTTGTCAGGGCTACCACCCCCCCTTGTCCAAAGGGGCATCCTCAAAGCCCAGATTTCCAAGGAGCTCAAGAGCTGCTGCTGGCCGGGCTTCAAGGACGCTCAGCACCCTCCTAAGGGGAGAAGGTCAAGCCCTTGGGTCTGCCAGGAACTGGAAGGAGTCACGTTATGTCCTCAGCACCAGAGGGAGGAAAAAATAATATTGTTCTCTGCAAAGGGCTTGTTGGAAAGCAGGGCTGGTGGCCACGGGGCTCAGGGGGGGGACCAGACCCACCGCTGCTGCCTCAAGGGCACCAAAACAAGCCCTGCTGTCCCAAAACAGACCCAGCCCAAGCTCCTCAGAGGATTTTTTCCTCCTGCTTTCCCATTCTGTAGGCTCAGAAAGCAGTGTCCCAATGCTGGGACCAGGCTCAGGACCTGGCTCAGGACCTTAGTGCAGGATAAAACACTCTATGTACACCCACAGCCTTTAAGAGTGAGGCTGGTACATGGTGGCTTTGGCTTCACCATAGGTGCTGTTGTTCTCTAGACCAGGTGTCTTCAGGCTGCTGGGCCCAGATTTTGGTTCAGTTTCTGCTGCTCTTTTTGCCTGAAGTCTAGGAATTGTCCCCTGCACTGAGGGTTTACCTGAAGTCTAGGAATTGTCCCCTGCACTGAGGGCTTCACCTTGCTGGTGATGCTGGGAGGTCCTACCATGAGGTAGGACCTACAGGAGGTCCTAGGACACCTCGTGTCCTCCCTGCAGAAAGGGTGGGTGATGCTTCCTCCACTGCATCCTTCCACAGGGGCACTTGGACCCAATTTCCAGCAAATCTGCACATGGCAACCCCTGAGGACAGAGGGAGGAGCAAGATCTGCTCACCCTGAGCCCAAGGGGCACGTGTTAAAGCAAAACCTGTGGAATTCCCACTACAGCACCACAGGAGAGGGAAGCCTCTGGAAATCCCATCTGTGATAGGAGGCTCTGAGGTGTCACTTCAGCTTTGCAGGGAAATTTGGTGGAGAAAGCCTGAAAAGGAGTAGGGGCTCCTGGTGCATCCAGGGAAGTGCACTTCCTCCACACTAACTGCAAACCCTGAGACCCATCCCTGAACCTCGAGGCCTCCAACAGCAAAGGCAGCTGTTTACCCAAGAAAGAGAAAAGGGAGAGAAGCACTTTTGCCATGAAAAAAAACGAAGGTCAAGCTCCTATTTGTTTTTCAGTTCTCTTCCCATAGCTCCATAGCCCAGGAGAGCTCCCACATCACACTGTCCTTGTAGAGGACAGACAAAGACCAAGAGCAAGGACCAAAAACCAGGCTGGAAAAGGCACACGAGAGGTGAGAAGAATCATTATTGTCAATGCCACCACCATCCTTCCACCCAGCAGACTGCAAACAGGTCTGAGAACCCAAAGAGAGAAAAATCCCTCCCCAGCTGTCACCTCCCCAAGTCCAGCTGCTGGCTGGTTGACCTCACATGTTACATTGGAAAGCTTGTGAAGCTCCTGCTCAAAGCTCCTGGCATTGATCACATCTACCCAGCTACTGGGGACATTTTGGTGGGCAGGCAGCTGGCAAAGCTGGGTGAAATGAGATTTTACTGCTGCAAAGGGAGAGCTTTTAGAAGAGAGGTGCCAAGCTACGGAGGGCAAGCTGCTGTTCTCAGGTGTCTGCTGCAGCAGGATGGGCTTTACCCGTCCTTCCAAGCTGAACCAACACCTCAGGTGTTGCCTCCACGTTGGGCACAACTGCCCAGGAGTCTTCTTGGTGACAGAAATACTGCACACAGTCAGCTGAAGGCTTCAAGCCCCAAAGGCTGCACTCCTCGGAGCGTGGAGAGGCACCCACCACTCAGCAAGACATACAAAGGGGTTGCCCAGAGCAGAAGGGAAGACTCTCATTGTCCACCAGCCCCCCTGGTTCAGGTTAAAGGGTGGTTTGGGTCACCCTCCAGGATGTTAGAAGAGCTTTTAGCACTTGGGGAGGCTCCCCTTGTTCAGTGAGATTGGACACCCAGCCCCTTTCCCAACCCAACGCGCCGGTGAAGGGGACGCCGCGCCGGGCAAGGAGAGCCTCCCCTTCCAAAACATCCTCCCCAAGAGTGAAAAAGCCACACTCCAGGCCAATTACCTATTCATTTCAAGATCATTCAGGCGAGCAGAAAGATCCTCGAGGCGGTTGATTTGTTTGTGGCACTGGCTACAGTAAAACTCAAAAGCTTCATCTGCGAGAACGCTGTGCAGTTTCGCAGCGAGCGGATTGGTGCTAGAGAAATCACAAGGGTCATTTGAACAGGACAGAACAGGCAGGGCTGATTGCCAGCTGTGCATTCCAGAAGCTGAGCAGTCCCTTAAAGGCAGGGGAGATTTGGAGGGGAAAGGTATAAGATTTGGAGTTAAAAAACTTTGGGGTAGATGAGGTCGTCTCCCCGCCCGCCCCCGTGATTTTAGAAGGTAAATCGTGGTCAATGTGGAGTTGCTAAAAATGAGCAGGACTTTTTTTTCTCCCAGAGGCTCACAGCAGCTGAGCTTGGCCCAGGTTTCTAAACCTCTGGGCCTCCAGAACTCTGAAGTCCTCCAAAAGAGGCCAGGGCAGGTGAGGTGCCTGTTTTCCACCAACCTCCACGATGGCAAGTTGATTTTCTGACATGATTTTCCAAGCAGCCTCTTCTCAGGAGGCTCCAGTGAGGGTCCTGGTTTGCCTTGGTAGATGCAGCCCAGACTCACACACCCCTGGACTGGGTGCTGGGAGCAAGAGCCAGATCCTTCAGTGGGCTGCACCATTTTCTAATGAGATGCTTTAAAAACAGCCCCTCTGTTGGTAACAGGCAGGGTTGGATTTTCACTGCAGAGAGCTCTGAAGCTCAAAAGGATGGTTGTGGTTCAACTGCTCTCTGGAGTGCAGAGAAGCTGAAGCTTCTGTACTGTGGGAACATCATTTAGCCCATTGGATATGGGGGTCTCTAGGGCTTGAAGAACCTGTGGAGCTAATGGGTCCCATCAGCAATTCACTTTCAGCTGCCAATGTGGAAAACAAGCTGCTGAGGCATTCACCCTTGGCAAAGCCAGGAGCAGTTTCCTTTCCAGGAGCCTTTGGGCAGGACAGAATTTGGCCAAGGGGTTCTGAGCAGCAAAGAGTTTGTGTTCCTTTGGGGTCAACTATATGCCACGGATGCTTCCTGCAGGAAACCAAGCTTCTGGAAGGCACTGACTTCAATCAGAGAAAGGTTAATAGTGAAAAAACAAAGCAGTTCAATCAGAAAGACAGGTAAAAGTGTGAGGAAACACAAGCAAGCTTAAAACCAACAGGCATCCAACTACTCAACCCCATGACACAGAGACACACCAACAAGTCCTGGCCCAGGAGATGCTGGGAGCACGGGACACCCTGGGAGGGGGTCCCTTGGGCTCTGCACCTTTGTGTAACCCCTCCAAAAGTGACCTTTTTGGTGACAGCAGCCCAGCCACCCCCAGGGTCAGGCCTCTGAGTTTGTGCTGTCTGGACAGTATTTCCCAGCCCCCTTAGAACAGGTCATGGGACAAGAGTAAATGCCAAATTTCTCATCTCTTCCCAGTCCTGGAAAAAAAAAACAAATAGAAAAACATTCCCCCTTCCCTCTGAGGGTTTGGACTCGGGATGGTGATGATCCAGTTGCTGTTATTCAGTTGGTTTTGCAGAGGGTATGAGGTGACAGCAGCTCTGTGGCACCCAGAAGCAGCAACGTGCCCTTGGCTGGGCTGCCCCCCACGTCTGGCTGCACTCACAGCGAGTCCTTTTTGTCCCTGCCAGGAGGCAGAACCAGCTCACCCAGCTGGGTGCAACCCTGGGCGAGGTGCCAAGCCCAAAATCGAATCAAAATGGGCAAAGCAGCCTGGAGGAGAAGCCAGGGGCCAGCCTGGCAAAACCTCTGGGTGCGTGCAGAGAGGTTTGGCCGCTGGCTGCGTTGGGCTCTTGCCCATTGAGTGGGTGAGAACTCAATCAACCCTACACCCCAGGGCATCCCCACCTACCCCCCGTGGTGAGCTGCCACCCCCCTTGGTTTCCACAGCCCTTGGGTGCTCGTGGCCTGGTTTGTGGTAGAACAAGCAGCTGTTCTCTGCAGTGATTTGAGTTTCCAGCTCGGTCTCTGAAGAACTGTGCCTTGTGAAGTTAACTGGGTATTTTGGGAGATGCTCCCTGCTTCTAGCAGTGATCATGCTCTGTGTTTAGAGCTACTAGCAAGGATTGGGGTGCAGAAAGGCTTCTGCTTGCTCCTGCAGAGATCCAGGTCACTGCTACACCTCGAGTACCACGCTGGAGTGCTCCAAGTGAAGAGGTCACCAGTAAAAAGGTGGCACCCACAGGGAGGTGACCCTCAACTGAGCAAGGAGGGATTCCATCCCATCAACATCATCTGCAGTATGAAAGCTGAGGGATCAGGAGGCTCAAACCTCTTCTGCAAAGGCTGGTGTCCGAGGAGGACTCCATCCATCCTGCCTTGGATCCTGACCCACGTGTTCCTGAATCCAATTCCTGCCATCTGCCAAGTCCAGGCTGGACTCTGGGGGAGTTGGATATTGGGTTTGTACCTATTTTGTTATTTTCTTATTAATATTATTATCTTTTCTTTTTACCCTTCCTGTTTTGTTAAGGCTGTTTTAGTTTTCTTCTCCAGCTTGTAAATCTCTTTTCCTCATTCCCTTTCTCTTCCCTTTTGGAAAGGGAGAGGGGTTAATAGCATCTATCATTTGGCTCAGCCCAGGCCAGGTGAGTGACACAGCTCCTTGGCAGCCAGAACACGTGTGTGTGAGGAGCTTTTCCTTCCAGTTGCTGTTCATCTCTCCCCAAATGTTGCAGAGAGGCTTCTCCTGCAGGATGGACATGCTGAGGAAGAGGTGGCAACCCAAGAGGAGGGATTGCAAACACACACACAAGGACCAAGCAGGAAAATGCAACACCCCACAGAGTTCCCCCAAAGTTGGCTCTTGCCAACTGGTGAAGAGCTGGAGGTGTGGCAGAATTGGTTGAGGTTATTCCCACTTAAAAGACATAGAAAGGGTGGGTGGTGGTCTGTTTGCAAGCAATGCTGCTCCTCATAGTCAAACCACAGCCAGAAAAAAACTCCAAAATTCAGCCTGAACCAGAGATACCTTGTAGTTTTTTTTAAGGTTCCCCTAAATTCCACCACACTGGGGTGGCCGAGCTGTGTTCAGAGCCTCAGCAACCCTAGAGAACGACCAGCTAAGGACCTTCAGGCACCCAACGACACCCCAAGGTGAGGGCCAGGCCTGAAAGGCATGAGGAAACCTTCCAACAGAGCTGCATTCTTTCCTCTGGAGGTTTTGTTTGCAGCCTGGCTCCCCAGCAAGCCCCAGCACAAAGCACCAGGAGCTGGGTGGCCACGTGCCCAGCCAGCCCCTCCCAGCAGAGGGAAGAAGCTCCAGAGCACAATCTTGGGGGTAAGAATCAAAGAAGCAGAGGGGAAGAGGGTGCCCTGAGAGAGCAAGGTGTGACCACTGCAAGTGCAGGCAACCTGGGAGCTCTGCCTGAGAGGAAAGGAGAAAGTTTCCCTGATTGCAAAGCTCCTTTAGATGAACCTTTCCTTGCCAAGGAGTAGGTTGGGAGCCCACCCTCGGCGAGGAACTCCAGCCCCAAGGGTGGTTTTGATCTGAGAGCACTTCCCACACTGCAGCACCAACTGCCCAAACTGTACGAAGGGCTTTGGGAAGCAGACAGCAAAAAAAAAAAGAGAGTTTTGTGACAATTATACTGCTGCAGAAAGTCACAGATCTGTATTTGTATGGGAAAAAAAAAAGCAAGTTCTTGTCTTCAGCAGCAGCATGTGGCTGGGAGGGACACTCCTGCCTCACACTGTCTGATGGAGGAACATGCCCCTGCTGTCAGCTGTCATCACAGAGACTCTGGGGGCTGTAGCAGTGGATGATCACTCCAGCTTTTACCTTTTTTTTTGGCTTCAAAAGCAAGCCTTGATGGGTTTTGTTCTGTCACAGAAGCTCCTCGGCCCACCCTGCAGGGGCTGGAACACCAACATCAGGCTGGTTTCAAACCCTAATGCAAAGAGGGCAGGAAAATGCTACCTCCTGCTCCTTGCTCCACATCTCCCTTAGGCTGCCTAGAGAGGGAAGGCTGCCACAGCTTGTGTGAATCCACCCAAGCATGGCATCAATGCCAAAAATACAAGAGAGAAAGAAAAAACAAACCCCAAACATCATCCAACAGGACCTGGGGTAAAAGCTGCGGGGTGGTTTTCTCTCCTGGAAGGTTCTGCAAGGAGCCACATCCTGAACAGGATGCATGGGAAGGGTGGGTGGGCTGCTGGGCACCGTTTTGGCAAAGGAAAGGCTGAGGGAGGCAACTCCTCTTCCACTTTGGAGGCGATCATCCCCTCGTAGCCAAAGCTTGCCAGGAGCACCCCCCCCTCTTGCAGCCCAGCTAGCACACAAACCCCCCAGGAAACGAATCCCACGCAGGTGAAGACACCAAGCAACTGAAACCAGCTAAAACACGGGGTGTTACCTTGGAGAGAGGAACGAGGAGCTGTTAAAGCTGCTTTCCCCATTACACAAGCTGTCCGAGAACAAATCTGCTTCGTTGCCTTCGCCGTAATCCTCAAAATGCTCCTCTCCACTAATGACTGTAACGATGGAGGGGCTCAGGTCCGAGCCCAGGGGCAGGTCGTGGGGGTGGGATCTGTGGGGACAGAGAGGAGAAGGATTAGAGGGTCCCCACTGCAGCAGCCCTTCCAAAAAAGCCCCTTTCCAAGTGGTGCTGCCCGTTTGGGCCGCTCGAAATTTGGCCGCTCGCTGGTCTTGGCTGAGGGATCAACCCCATGCCCCAGACACTGAGGGCACCCCTGGGAAGTTGGTAGCAATTTGTTTGCACAAAAAAACCTCCTGTTTTTTCATGCAGGCTGCCCTGGCAGCTGCAACATAGGGTTTGGAGGCAGGCAGACTTGCAAGAGAGCAGCCAGGGTTGGTGGCGAGCCCTGGCACAACCAAAAATCAGGGCACAGAAAAAGCTTGGCAGGTGCCAAACTCACCCTAAACATGTTGTGAGTGACATCCTCAGCCTGTGTGCCTGGCTCTGCTCACACAGAATCATAGAATCATTAAGGCTGGAGAAGATCTCTAAGATCCTGAAGTCAAACTATCACCCCAGACTCCTGTGAGTGGCCCCAAGTGCCACGTCCACCCAATTTCTGAACCCCTCCAGGGCTGGGGATTCCAGCACCTCCCTGGGCAGCCTGTTCCAATGCCTCATTGCTCTATAATCCTATCAAGAGCCCAGCACTGAGGTCTAACACTGTAACTGTCCCCCCCCTGACACAAATCCTGGTGTGGTTTGCAGGCAGCTGCCCAAACCTGGCAGGGAGAAACCACCACGACAGCACGTGCCCACTCTCAGGGCACCTTCCTGCCATGGGGTGCAGAGGTTTTGAAGTTAAGCTCGGGGGGGAAAGGCAGGAGGGATGTGGAAGAAGCAGCCCACGTGTCTGTGAGCCACAGGTCTGTGTTTCCAGGGGGACCAGCACCACTCTCCTCTCCAAAATTCAATTCAAAATCAAAACAGCATTGCATGACTATAAAGCCTGCTATTTCAGGCCATGCCTTCCCTCCCCCCCCATCTCATCCACTGGCTAGGAGAGGGAAAATGGGATAGGACTAGCTTGCTGTACTAAATCAGAAAGCAAAAAAGATTACAGATAAGCCATTTATGACAAAAACCTGCCCCATCTGAAGGATTTGCTCTCATCCTGCTAATAAAAACACATCAACCCTCTGCCTAAACCAGCAGCAGATCTGTTTCACCACAGATGAGCCCAAGTCCAGCTCGTGGGCAGCTTCCCATGCTCCTGGGGCACTGGAGAAGCTCCTTTATCCCCACAGCAGCTCCAGCACAATCCCACCCTCCCAGCTCTGAGTCAGCCCATCGCCCAGAGCCTCAGGAATCTCTCCAGGAATAGAAGGCAGGGGGTGGAATTTGGAACTCACAAGGAAAAATAAAAAACCAAACAACCTCTAAATCTCTAAATTTGGGGCTGTGGTTTGAGAAGCACCGTCCAGGAGCTGATCTGATCAGGCACCTGGAAACCCTCAGCCAGGGAAGCTCTGGGCAATAAATCCTGGGAGTATTTCATATACAACTACTGAGGCTCTAGCAGTTCCAAGATGCAGACTAACTAATCTTTGCTACACACAGCCTAAATAACCACTTCAGCTCCAGCCATTGAAGGCAGGTTGAGCTTTCCCAGCTCCCCAAAAGCAGGGCTGAGGCTGGGATCCAGCCCAACAGTTGCACTGGTCGGATTGTACCCCCAGCCAGAGCTCTGGGCACCAGTGGGGTAGAACTGTTGTCCTGCCTCACGTTTGGCAGCACCAAACCCCTTCCCCAACCACCTGGGAATAAAATTCCAGATGCTTCCACCTCGAGCCTTCCAGATCTTTAAGCCAAATATATTTTTTCCTTGATTTTTTTTTGGCTACCTGGAATTTACTCACATTTAATACACCACAGCCCCGCTGGGCTTGGATGGAGTGCCCCAAGGGCACCCAATCTTCCCAAGTCCACGCTGGCAGGACGAGAGGAGCCTCAAGAACAACCTCATCTTCAAAAAATCCCCCCCCAAGCCAAGCATTTTATACCTACAGGCAGGTGAATCCAAGGCATGGCATTCTCCCCAGAGGCCGGGAGCGCACGCAGGCTGCCATGGCCCCTCCAGGGACCCTCTGCTCGTGGTGCTCAGCCACGGATCAGATCCTGATTTAACTCTCACCGAGCTGAAGGTGCTGGGGTGAGGAGAGCCCAGCCAGCTAATCTCATTTTCTTCCCTAATCCACAGCACCCTTTCAGCTCCGGGGCTGACCGCTCGCCGCAGCTCGGCTGTCCCCAGAGAAGATTTTTGGGGCAGTGCTTTCAAAAAAAAGCAAGAGGAATTTTGTGAAATACTCAGCAGAGAGCAGGGTTTGGTTGGCGTGGTTTTGGCCAAAAGGATTCTGTGTGTGAGCACTCATTAAGCAGTGATGGTGTCAGAGGTTGCTGGGCAGAGCAGCGCTCTCGGGTCACTGTTAAAGGAGTTATCCCCTCCCCTGTCACCTTCCCAGCATCCCCATTTCACTCCCCCAAAAATCCCCCCAACTTCTCCTGCAAAATCTAGGAAACGAGGGGGGCCCAGGAGCAGTTTTGCCAGCAGCTGTTCAGACCCAGGGACAAAGATTTTGGCTCTTGTTTTGTGCTTTAGGCACAAGTTTAGAACTAGTTCTTACAGGAGGTGGCTGCACATCAAAGGGCACACGCGTGTTTAGGAAAAAACAAGAACACCAAGAGTTCCCCCTCCCTGCTTAAAAATTACACGTCGCCTTTCTGGCTGGAGTGATAGATGAAACCCTGGGAGTATTTCAGGTGTTTGGCTCATCTGAGAACTTCTTTTTGAGGTGAAAGATGCTAATGAGGGTACAGAAGTTCTCCCAAGGCAAGTAACGCTTGCCAGGCCGAGCTCCAAAACAGCCTACACACGGTGCAGCCTAATTATTATCATTATTCTCCAAGAGCTATTTTGGTCCTGCACGAAGCTACAAACACAAAGAACAACCAGTTTCAGCAAGAAAGACTCAGCCCAGTCCATTTGAAATCCTCAGGCTGCGTTTCCCTCTGTCCATCGCCGCGTTTCCTGCCCCTGTGGGGGGAGTTGGGCTCCTGGGGGTTCCCACTCACCCCTGCTCTGGCTCCTCGATGGGATCTGTGAACTCAGAGTGCACGGTGGAGTCGATGGCACTGTCTGTTTCTACCTCGTCGTGCATCTCGTGCTGGACCAAGGTGCTGGTGTCCTCATCTGTGAAGGTTTCACACTCGCTGTACGTGCTCTCCGAGCCCATGTAAGCGCTGTCGGTCACCTCATTGGCCTGAAAAAACACAAGGGGAGGGAAAAAAACCAAAACATAAGACCCTACAGCAATGGGGTTTCGCTGCAGAGCAGGACAAAACACGGATGGAGCAGCTGATGATTGGGGGGTTGTGTTTCTAAGCCCAGAAATCCAACCCAAAACCAGCAGGAGCCGAATCCCAGCGCTGCTCCGAGGATGGAGCAGAGCCCTGGGGTGCACCCTGGCCTCTGGGCTGTGCCTCCTGTCCCCCAGAGGTGTTTGGAAAGCAGAAGACAGAAGGAGATAGTCGGAGGGAGATGTTGGTGAAAGGGAGTGGGGATTTGGTGAGTCCATGAGGGATGACCCACTGTTCAACTCAGGGGTTCTGGTCACCGCTGCTCTCACCTCCTCAGTTTTAAGAGGGCTCGTTGTTAAGCTGGATTCTCTGCAAAAATCACCATTCAGACCCACCAGTTAGCCTTGAAAGTGCTTTTCCCTTGTCTGGCAACATGAGGGCACCTTCTATCCCTCGACAGAACATCAGCTGGTTTATAAATCCCCATCAAAGCCATTTTTTCAGGGTGATGAGGCTGCCCAGAGAGGTTGTGGGGTTTCCTCTGGAGAGATTCCAAACCTGCCTGGACACCATCCTGGGCACCCTGCTGTGGGTGAGCTGCTGGAGCAGGGGGGGTTGGAGGAGATGATCTCCAGAGGTCCCTTCCAACCCCACCGTGCTGGGGTTCTGTGAAGGTTTATGTCATGGTTAACTTCAGGGTCCCCAGGAGCAGGACCCTACACTTGCCCTTGTTGAACTTCAGGAGGTTCCTCCCCACCCAACTCTCCAACCTCTCCAGGTCTCGCTGAATGGCAGCACAGCTCTGGTGTGTCAGCCACTCCTCCTCAGCAAACTGGCTGAGATCCACCCTGGGCCTTCATCCAGGTCACTTATGATCATACTGAATAAGACTGGACCCAGTCCTGACCCTGGGGATCACCATGAGCTACAGGCCTCCAACTAGACCCTGCACCACTGACCACAACCCTCTGAGCTCTGTCATTCAGCCAGTTCTCAACCCACTCACCATCCACTCATCTGAGCCACGCTTCCTGAGCCTCCCTGATAGGGAAGACAATCTCAAAAGCCTTGCTGAAGTCAAGGTAGACACCATCCACTGCTCTCCACTCATCTAGCCACCCAGTCACCATCCCAGAAGCCAGAGTCAGCACCAGAAGATGGGGCTGTCTGGCTGAACTCGATTCAGAGGACAGGCTGCTGTGGCAAAGGTCATCCCTAGGACCAGAGGAGAAGGTGGCTTTCACTAGCCTTTGAGATAAAAACAAAAGCCTCCTAAAACCCCCACCTGCTTTAAAAAGCATAAATCCACCCAGACTACTTATATACCTAAAGCCAGGGACTTGCTTAAGTGCCTTACTGGATTTGTGCTGCCCTTCCTAGAAACACTGTTCAGGCTCCTCAGGCTCGAGAGGAGAAGGATGAGGGAGATTTGGAAGCAGAGGCTCGGGCTGCTTTCCTTGCTCTGAGGCCAGAATGCTCCAGCAATTCCACTGCTTTCCCAAGCTCTCTGCAGCAGACTGAGTTTAGCAGAGGTCCCAGGCTTCAGCAGATGGGACCTGATGCAGGGGAGAGGATCCAAGAGGGGACAGCAGATTTCATGCCTCAAGCTGCCCCAGGGGAGGTTGAGGTTGGAGCTGAGGAACAATTTGTTCCCCTTGAGGGTTACCCAGGGCAATGGTGGAGTCCCCACCCCTGGAGGGGTTTCCAAGCTGTGGAGATGTGGTGTTGAGGGACACGGGGCAGTGGGGACTGGCAGTGCTGGGGGAAGGGTTGGACTCAGTGATCTTGAAGATCTTTTCCAGCCAAAACGATTCTATAATAAGCACAAAGCAAAGGCAACTAGAGCAAAGAAGCCAAAACTACAAACCCCAACTACTCCAACCCAGAAGTCACTTGATTAAACCCCCCCCTGTTGTGGTCACCATCTGTTGACACTCTCAGTGTTGAAACACAACCAGGAGCTGAGCAGCTCAGGGCATCTGTGGCCTCAGCTACGTGATTTATTTCTCAGATCCTCACCAAAGATCTTAAAGGTGAAAAATACTGGCAGAGAAGGATGGGGCAACCCTTCAGAGCTAGAAGTAGCCACCAGAAGAGCATGTTAATCACCCTCCTTGAGCTCCACCAGGGCCACGCAGTGATTTATTAGAAGGAAAAAACCAACAAACCAAAAAAAAAACCATAGCACAATTGGCAAACTTTCTTTTTAGCAAAGGATTATTTTTTCCTCCTCTTGTGATACCAGCCTAGATGAGATTTCAAATAATGCAAGAGCCTTATTAAAATTCAACCTGCATGGTCAATGAATGGAGAGGCAGTGGAAACTGTAAACAAAGTCCTTCTCCTGAGCATGAGCGTGACCATTTGCAAACTTTCTTTTTAGCAAAGGAGATATTTATTTTTTCTTCCTCTTGTGATACCAGCCTAGATGAGATTTCAAATAATGCAAGAGCCTTATTAAAATTCAACCTGCATGGTCAATGAATGGAGAGGCAGTGGAAACTGTAAACAAAGTCCTTCTCCTGAGCATGAGCGTGGAGAACTTTGCTTGAATTTTCGTCATGGATTGAGTAACTAAACCTCCAGAAAAGATGCAAGGAGGAGATAGGCAAAGCACAGGGACTTGGGGAAGGTGTTCCCAAATGCCTGAGAAAGCAAAGCCAACCCAGGCCCCTCGCCCAGGGCAAAGGTGCAGTGGCAGGTCATAGAAAGTTCTCTTTTTGGTGGCCTCGTGAGCTGCTGGTTTGTGCAGTGAGCCTTTAAACCCTCCCTGTCACATCTCTCCTTTGGCCAAGTTTGCTCTCCTTTGAGCAGGCAGAAAGTAAAATACTTTTTCCAGACTGAAACACCCACTCCCATGATAAACTAAAGACATCCATGGGCTTGGGACAGCCTACAAGCACCCCAGGGGACTTGCCAGGAATGTCCCCACCATGCTCAGAATAGGGTTGGTGTCCCCACTATCAGTGTCTTTGAAGTTTTTATGCAACAAAACCCCCTCAGATGCTTCAGGTAAACCTCAGACCTTAAAACTGAACACACACATTGAGCCCTTGAACTGAAACAGGGTCATGGTTGACCCAAGTCCCTACCCCTGGCTTCAACCCCTCCATGAAGCACCATCCCTGTTTGCCCTGGCTCAGCACATTGGCCATCCAGCCACATCCCAACCTGTTCAGAGGGGTCCCCAAAACGCCAGGGAGCTGAAAGCCTGGCAGTGAGCTCTCCTGCTTCTGAAAGGAAATCCATGGATGAAATCATGGAGGTGATGTAATGTGCCCTGATAAAAGGGGTGAGATGATGAAGCACCTATAGGAGACTTCACCAGCAGCAGCTCATCTGTTCCAGGCATTTCATTACACACTGGAGCAAAGACCATTTCATTAGACATTATAAAGGGCTATAAAACCCACACTGATTAATAAAAAAGCCCTGCTTGAGTATGAGGAGAGAAATGAGACTATTGGGAGTCACCTGCACGGCCTAAGGGAGGACAAATTCAGCTTGATTTGTGATGGCCAGAAGCTTTAGCCCAAGGGTTGCCTTGGAGAGGGGGGCAAAGTCTGGCTCCCAGGAGTTTGCTGCAGGGCTGGTCCCTCACTCCTTCCCAGAGCCATCCCAGCATCCTGAAATTCTGCTGTCCTTGGCCACAAGCACTCAGAAACTCAGGAAGGGAAGCAGGGGAGGGAGAGGAAAAGGAAAAACAACTCATTTTTCCCAGCAAGTGTGAGCCTGGTTATGGGAAACAGCAGCTCTGGCTGCACACAGGAGACAGGACGGGCTGTGAAAACCCCCCTCCAAGGACACCTCGAGCTGCAGGCTGCAGGAGAGGCTCTGTGTGGAAGGAGGAGGGATGAAGAGCACCCTGCCTGGTGGGTGAGCACCCTGCCTGGTGGGTGAGCACCCCTGGGTGCTGCCGTGGCACCAGGGTCACCTGCCCGCCCGGTTTCTGTGCTTCTGCTGCCTCTAAATGGATGTCAAGCCAGATAGAAGGGTTGTAAGTTGTGATTATGGACCCACCTGAGCTTGCATGGACACGACCACCCTCAAAGCCCTGGAACAGCCCACAGCAGCTCAGCCTTTCAGTGCTGGCAGCCAAAAACACCACCCCACCACCCAGAGTTCCTGCACCGGGGGCTGTCATGACTTCTCGACCACAATATCTGCCTCTTCCCAGACATTTAGGCAACATTTGCCCTCCAGAGGAGCCAGGGAGCCTGCACTCAGCCTAGAGCAAAGGCAACTTCCACAGCACAGCCCCTGAGGGTGGGTTTGGGGGCTGCTATGCTTGTTAACCTCAAGGCTGTGTGAGAGAACCACGCTGAAGCTGTTGAGACACACTGAAAACACTCACCCTAGAAAAAACATCCTCCAAACCCCCCCAAAAAAAACAACTCACAAGACACCAGATCTTGCAGAGTGTCCTCAGCACCCCAAAAACCTTCAGCCACCAGCCCTCTGGGTCCACCTCCCCCAAGGAGAGAAAGAGTGATCTGAAATTTCCTTCACACACCCAACGCTTGGTAAGAAAAGACCAAGCAACCGAGTTGGGTGGGTGCCCAACCTGCCTCTTCCTGGCACCTCCAGGGCCAAGAAGCAGCCCTGGGGGTCACCCACCTCCCCCTAGAAGCCCAATTCTTCCCCGTTTTGTAGGGTTTTTCCCCCAAAAACCTACCTGTGGAGACATGGCCTCCTCACCCGGCTCGGACGCAGCCCCAGGAGCCGCCGGCTGCTCCCACAGGGCAGGAGGGAAGCAAAGTCCAGGCTTTGCTCAGCGCCTGTCCCGAACAGAGCACCTTTTGTTCCTGGTAACACACACTCCCCTGCCCTGCCGTGTGACCACAGCCCTCCCAGTTAAACCAGTACCAAAATAAAAGCAGGGCTCGAGCTCCACAAGCGGCACCCGGCCCCCCACGCGTCCTCTTCCCATCACCAATGGAAAAGGTTCATCTTGCAGGGCACC